AAAAAAAAAATCAGTACTATTAGAGGGCGCACTTGCTATGACACAAAGTGGTCATAGAGGGCAACCTTTGTCAGGGCAATGGCAATCTGGCTCGCACAAAGGTTCATGAACCTCTTAGTTTGTAAATGTATTAATTATTCAATATTTTAAAAATTTTATTGATAGTTAATTTTCCAAATTAAATGGGGACATGTGAAATTACAAGTCAACTAATCGCACTGGCGAAACAGTTAATTTAAAAGCCTGTGAATATGCTCAAAATAGTGAAATCAGATCTCAGCAAGTACGACAATGATTCAAACAGTCTTGGGGACTTTTTGTCACCAATTTATGCCATACAAGTGCTCCGTCACTAGAGGGGATTATAGGAAAGGTGTATTTTCCAAAATACCCCCCCCCCTCCAGCAAACCTGATCATCAATTCAATGTAGGTGATAGCTCCAGCTGCTCTCCTTTCCGGCCTGACATGTAGATGTGAGTAGGCCCTCGCCGGCGGAATGGCATCAGACTTCACTCACTTACTGCACAGCAGATAATGCAACTCGTGCAACCTCATCAAGCTTCTCCCATTTCAAGCTACACACAACTTTGTTTATTATCAATAGCGCCCTCATGAGATCAAGTGTTTCTGTGATATCAAAGTAACATAGATGGATATATGATTGTTTTAATCAACAATTTTGTGTAATTATTCGTAATTTATAAGTAATGCATGTTTATTATAAAGTGACTGCAGGTCAAAATATTCTCAGCACTGTGAACAGGATTCTTGACAACTATCTATGTCCCACTAGCAGTTAGTCAGTTTTTGATTTGATGTGGCGGAGAGGAAGGCATGAAAGGAAGCTGTCCAATCTGAATGGAATATTTCAAAGTCAGTCAAAGGCAATGTCAAAGCAACAACCTTTCTTTTACGATAGATGAATTATTTTTTTACAGAAAGATCATCAACAAAACATAGAAATATTAAATAGAAATATACAGGCTCGAAAATTGTGTCTATTGCAAAACAATTCAACTAACAGCCATTTTGATACTACAATATATTCATTTCTTGCAGCAGTGATTTCTACAGGTGGTTTTATTGCATTCAAAATTGTTTCATTTCAAACTGCTCACACACACACACACACACACATGGTGATTTCTTGAAATGCATACTACTGTTAAATACTTTATTTTCACTGAGAATTAATTTTCGCTATTTTCTCTGAAGTGATTATTCAGTGAAAATAAAATCCAGTGAATATACCCTTTTTCCTATATTTTACATTCAACTTGTCAAAAATCAGTGAAAATAAATTCTATACAAAACACCCAAAAAGTCTTTTCAGTGAAAATTAATTCCAGCTAAAATAAAGTATTTTACAGTAAGTTGGTCACTGGTACAAGTTATTAAATAGTTTATGCACAATTTTGAGCAATAGTACTAGAGCAAAGTATCAACACGCCTCTACATTCTCAATGAATTTCTTAATTAGTTAAAGAGAACACCTACAGTTTTTATTTATTTTCTCAGAAATACCATGTTGGCTATCTGAAAGCATTTTAGTTTTCTGAGGAGATGATTTTTTTCAGCCAATCACATCATGCATGATAGCAAAAGAACACATTAGTGAACATGCGAGCGTTTTCTTCCCGACGATCTGATTTTCGTTGACGTTTAGTAGAGTTGGCTAATCAGTGATAGCAATTGCACAACAAATTGGTGACACTGATTTTTGAATATGTACTATTGTGCAGATATTTCATATCACATTCATAACATGGTGCATGTTCAAGCTACCAAGCCATATTTAGTATTGACTTCATTTGCATATGGTTGCACTCCCCGACAGAATTTTCTCTACAGCATAATTGCTGTCCCCCATCCTCTAACTTGTCTGACCATATAATCCTTAGATGAAAATACCATGGTTACATAGATCTGTGGAACAGTATACGTCATGATGGAGCGAATAAAACACTATTTGAAGGCAAAAAACAAGTCACATGGTTTTCTCTCTCTCAACCTAATCTTGGCAGCC